AGGCAGTATTGATAAAGGCAGTAAACAGTCGCTCGATAAGTGTGTGTGGTGTGGTGGTAACGTGTGTGTCGGCCAGAGGGTGTTCTGCGGTTCGAGCCCTGCTGCCAGTACGTATTTACTCGGAAAACAAGTGGTCAGAAAAGTTTCAAGCCAATGAGAAAACGCGACTTTATGAATAATGAGCTAGAAATCACAGTATTAAATGTACAGTATATAAGTTAGCACAATATATACATTTCATGATTATAGACGCCGTGGGATGCACAAAAAACGAAAGTGTAACTGTTGGTAAAGTAGAAGCCTCTACTCATGAATAGTGTAATGGACAAAGGGAAACAAACATCTATTTACGAGTTGTATTTGACAGTGCGATTGCTTGAAAGGGCTACAATTCCGTCACTGGCTCTACCTGTTATGCCCGGGCTTCGAAATTTGAAGTACAACAGTCGATGGCTGAAAGAGTCTGTAGTGTCTTTCGTCAGACACAACACACACCTCTCCAACCATCCCACTTTGTCCACACGTATTAACACCTCCAACCGTTCCACGTACAACACGTCATGGCAGAAGAGTACACTTTTCCGGTCGTTTTCTTTAACAGTAGCTTTTACTCTCACTTTTATCGAGTATACAGTTTGCACTTTTACTCCACTAGGGGGTACTGTAGTGTCTCACTTTTCTATCCACTTTATCTGACCTGATTGTACAGCTTGTTTTAATATGCGCAGCACCTAACACACAATACAAAATTCTGTTCGTAAATACGCACGTGTTCTCCGAGTGTTGCTGAGGAATTAAGCAAGCATACCTAATTCACAATACAAAATTCTGTTCGTAAATACGCACGTGTTCTCCGAGTGTTGCTGAGGAATTAAGCAAGCATTATTAGTTATCGTCACGCGGTCCGTTAACTGTCGCAGTCACCCATTCAGCTCCTCTACATCTCATCGACCGGAACCACACATTACAAGAACAGGATCAATCGACCAGCGGACAATCCTTCTGTGAGTCCGTTCCTTGCACCGTTTATTTCATTATTATTCGTATATGTATATATATATTCGTCCTCTGTGGATTCCCCCTAGTATACGCGCTGAGTTCGACTTAGAATTTCGCGGGTGACATGAACAGACAGACGACGGACAGAGGGAGCATACCGATAGACGGGAAATGTTCAAGAGAGCGCAAACGGTTCACTCCCCGAGGGAAATGGGGCTGGGACGGTGGAGGGAAACTGGTCAGGAAATTGGTTTCTTTATTCACATGCGAGAAAAAACGAGGGCGTACAACATGGGATTAAGAAACGGATAGTTTATTTTGACCTCTGTTTATGTGTACGTGTAGTTGTGAGGCAAACGAAGAGAATGTCAGGCGTGTTTGACTGATGCTATGGGACGTTTGAGAGAAAGAGCTAGGGACAATGATAATACTCACAGGTTCACTAACACGTGTACGATTAGCACACGAAACTGCGCGATCGAATGACTCTTTTTGGTGGTGAAGGTCACAATGATAATAGTTGAGCACAAGAGGCAACAAATACCAATAAAAAAGATATTGTACAGATGGACCATACTGATGAACAAAAATACATTGTGCTATACGTGTATGCATTAAGGATAATCAGACAAATCGAGGAGAAAGAGAAACCACACTGGATCACTGTAAATGCTGGAATAGGGCGGATTCATGCACGAGGACAGAGCCGAATTGGAGTGACCAGTGGTCGAGAAGGAGCAGCAATAGCAGTAACGGTAGAGAGAACTAGGACCACAACCGAAAGAGAGAATGCGAGGAAAAGAGAGAGGTGAGAAAAATAAACAGAAAGGGTAAATTGGCAGAATCCAACCTGGACAACAGAGTAAGAATTTATGGCACAAACCCGGTGGACTGTGAGCGCGCAACAGGTGTGAAACAAGGACTGGGTGATACCGGATACGAGTACAGTGTATAGGTGAACGAGCACAGAAGAAGCCCAAACAGAGAAACGGGACAAAGAAGACTGGGGGGAAAGCCGTGGGCAGAGGCACGTAGCAAAACGAGCATGATGAAGTTAGATGCTCTGTTTTTACAGACACCAG